GGGCGTGTGCACACGTGTGTGTAAATCCCGGACGGGGGGGAGGAGGAGGAGGGGGCTGCATCCCAGCAAGGGCGAGCCCCCGGGCAGGGGCAGGCGGGTGCTGAGCCCTCCCAGCACCGATCCTGGTTCGAGCCCCGCACGGAGCTGCTGCGGGGTCCCGACTGGGGGTGGGGGCTTGGCTCCCAGCAGGCACTGAGGGTCCGGGGTCTTCTCCCCAGGCAAAACCTCCCTGGCTCATCAGTTCGTGGAGGGGGAGTTCCTGGAGTGCTATGACCCCACGGTGGAAAGCAGTGAGTACAGGCGGGGGGGGGCCTGGGGCCCATGTGCTCTGCGTTGGGGGTGCGTGCGTGGGCAGACCCCCGGCCATGGCACGGTCTCGTCCCCAGCCCTTAGCCGAGGGCCTTGCCAAGACGCCCGGGAGCTGTGGGGCTGCCGGCGCTCCCTGCCCTGCTCGGGCTGGGTAGGAAGGGGCCAGGCAGGCGCTAGTGGCTTTTGCGTGTAGTATTTCCTGCCGCTGGCTTGTCGTGTTGTGACAGCTTGCCTATCCCGTCCCCACCTGTCTAGAAGCCTCTTCCTGCCTGGTGTGGGGTCACAGACCCTGTGTGCATGGAGCATGGCATGCAGGAGGGGCCTGGGCACATGCTAGGTGCTGCCTCTGTTGAGGGGATTGGGCCCCTCCAGCAGCGGGCAGTGCCTGCCACAGCCCTGGGGTGATGCTGCGTGCATCTCGCTCCTGCAGGGAAGGCCGTGTAGCTGGGGTCTTGCTGGGACCCTGGCCCCACCCCAGCCCTACACTTGCTTGGGGGCAGTCGTGGGCACATGGGGGTCCATGAGGGCCTGGACATGCCATGTGGGCATGCTAATGAGCATGTGTGCCTTCTACAGCCTACAACAAAATGCTGGTGTTGGGGAAGGATGAGTTCCATCTGCAGCTGGTGGACACAGCCGGGCAGGTGAGGCCGGGGGCAGGGAGGGGCAAGTGAGCCGGGCAGCTTTCCCTGTGCCCGCAGTTTGGAAGGCTGGCCTTGGCCCCGTGCATGGAGAAGGGCCAAGGGAGGGCAGGGCGTGGAGCAGCCTGGTCTGCACCTGACTCTGCTGTCCCGCCAGGATGAGTACACCATCCTGCCCCACTCTTTTGTCATCGGCATCCACGGCTACGTGCTGGTGTATTCGGTCACCTCACTCCGCAGGTCAGTGGGTGCTTGGGGGGAGGGAGGGGTGATACTGCTGGGTCTGCCCCTCTGACTGCCCCTCCTTTGACCCTGGGGTGCAGACGTGAGCGGCACCCTGAGTGCCACCACCCAGACCTGGCAACTCTCCAGCAGCAAGGCTTCATGAACCTGACCCAGGTCTTTCCCCATCTCCCTGCCCTCAGAGTGGCTCTGGCTGGTCCCTCCAGCTGTCCTCCCCAGCACTGGCTCTGAGAGCTGCGGACCCCAGCATGAGCTGCCAGCGGCCTTGGGGCAGCGGCTGTGCCAGCTCTGCAGCATTGTCGGGGGGGGGGGGGGCATCCAGGCCTGGTGAGTGGCAGGGGGAGGAAACTGCCTGACTCACAGAGCAGAGCAGGGCCCTTGTGGGTGCCCAGTGTCACAGGCCCTGTCCTGGGCACAGTAACCCCCCTGTCTGTCCCTCTGCAGCTTCCAGGTGGTGAAGACGCTGCACAACAAGCTGTATGAGAGCCGGGGCAAGACGCGGTACGTGGCCCCTCCTGCACCTGTCATAGCTCCTGGTCGGAGGGGATGTTGGCATGGCAGGGAGGGTGCTGGTGCTGCCCATCACTGGATCCAGGGCAGGGGCACCTCTATGCAGCCCCACAATGTGGGCTGTGCTCTGCCCTGGCTCCTGGCAGGGTCCTAGATTACCCCACAACAGTGCAGCCCACCGGAGCCCCTTGCTGCCAGCTCAGCACTTCACTGGAAGGGCTGGGTGGGTGCAGCCAATCGCCCCGTGGGCTCCCAGTGTGGGCTGGGCTTCCCGAGGTGCTCTGCTGATGGTTTCCTCCCCTGCAGCATGCCCGTGGTGCTGGTCGGGAACAAGGCAGACTTGTCCCTGGAGAGGTAAGGAGCAATACTCACATCCTGCCGGCCCTGGGTCCTATTGCTTTTCCCTGCCGGGGCTCAGGCTGGTACCCAGGGTGGGGGGTTGCTCCCCTCACCAGCCCTTTGCCTTGCTCCCTGTTGCATGTCCTCAGCCGGGAGGTGAAGACGGATGAGGGCAAGAAGCTAGCAGATTCCTGGGGCGCCATCTTCTTGGAGTCATCTGCTAAGGAGAACCAGGTCTGGCACACGGCAGCTGTGGCTGGGGCAGAGGGAGCCTGGAGCACGTCCTTCGACTGGGCTTCGAAGCCCACATGTGGGGCAGCTACAGACCCTGAGATGCTATGGGGGGAAGGGAGGAGTGTGGGGAAGCTTATGTGCTGTAAGGACTGTGTACAGAATAAGGGTCCTTGGACTTGTTCCAGCGCTGCCTGCAGCCCTTGCAGGACTGGGGCCGTCATCCCAGGCATGGGCTGCTGGCATGAGGCAGCTGCCTGGTGCTGTGAGGCCTCTGGGTCCTGCCACCCACCGCCCCTGGGCAGGAAGAGCCCTGCCACATGATGGGCAGGGCAGGGGGTCCCTCTGGCCCTCACCAGTTCATACAGCAAGACCCCCTTGTGCCCTGCAATGTGTCTGCCCTCCACCCCCAGGTGACGCAGGGCATCTTCACCAAGATCATCGAGGAGATTGACCGGGTGGACAACTCCTACGGCGAGGAGCGCAACTGCCTCCTGATGTGAGCCCCTTGCCCCTGCTGCCAGGGGTGCATGCTGCTGCCCCTGCCCAAGATTTCCTTCTGCCCTGGGGGAGAAGAGCCATGGGCTGGTACTGCCGGCCTGGAGGAGCTACGGGTATCTGCACACACTGTACCTCACTGGACGGCCCCCGCCCTGGGTGGCCGTTTTGCACACAGCTGTTGGCAGCAATGATGGGCTCCCAGCTCACACCATGGAGCCTTGCTGCTGGGTCTATTTAAGTTGGGTTTGGTTTGGGGGTCTCTATTTATAGCTGGTGTCTGACCACGCATGTGTGTGAGCACGGGGCCAGCACCAGCCGGAGCCCAGTCTGCTCATGGTTCCCTGCTCCCCCGACTTGCTCTTGGTGGCCTTAATTCTCCTGACATGAAGCAACTTGAAGGTCGGGCTGCGCCGGGGGCCAGGCTGTTTGGGCCGTGTCTCGTGAGAGGGTGGTGCTGTCGTGGGAGCTGGGGACGGCTCAATGGGAACGATTAAAGCTTGTTTTGTAAGCAAACCCTGCGCCCTCTCCCCTGTCTGTAGGCCGGGCCCGGAGGAAGAGCTCAGGGCAGTGCAGCTGTGGGCACTGCCCTCTGTGGGTGCCAGTGCTGAGTTAAACGCCCTGGCGCTGGGGGAGGGAGATCGCACGGGTCCTGGGCGCACCTGTTGCAGGGACGACCCACGTGGAAGGAGCGTTGCTGCCTGGATGTCATCACTGGGGGTCAAAGGTGATGCAGGCAGGGGCTCCCTCGCACGCTAGTGAGCTGGTCCTCATCTGCTGCTTCAAAGGCGAGGTGCTCAGGCTCCCACATGCACTAGGAAGGGAACCCAGGAGGCCTGGCTCCCAGAGCTCCTCTCTAGAGTTGGGC